CAGCCTTGAAATAAAGTGAAATAAGAAGTCCCTGGAGTGCATGGTGGCACCAGCATGAGGCTTTGGCTATTAATCATCAAGGCATAGCCGCCGCCCACTGCGGTTGGGTTTCAGCATGGATTGTCAGAAAGGACAGGCCCCCGAGTGGCTGTGTGACTGGCGGGTCTGAGTTTCACGGAAGTTTGGGCTCAGGCTCAGGCTCTCCGGGCCTTGCGCTGCCATCCTGGGTCACACCCACACAGCTCAGCCAGGCGTTCCTGCTGCTCCCCCAAGTCCCTGAGATGAGTTTACCAGCATGTCCTCATCTGTCTCCCTGAAGAAGGTGACATCCCCGACCGCCATGGGAGCTTTGCAAGGAGAAGCTGGCTCTTGGCCCCCTGGAGCCTCTGCATGCTACAAATCTCTTTTTCCTATGTGCCTATCTGCCTTTGACGCCATGCACGCCCCGCATCCGACCACATGTCAGAGGTAGCTGTTTAATGTCAGCCAAAGAAAACAAGCTTCCCACGGACCTGCACTAAAGGTGAGGTGACAGCTGGCGGATGGTTTATGACTCACCCCAGCAGATGCTGAGCCCCAGGTGTGTTTCAAGGGGCTGCCACTGAGGACACACGTCGGGCCATAGATGGGAACCCGGGCTTGGCTGCTTGGCGAGCGGCGAGGGATTGCAACACGCTGTAAGCTAACCTCAGCTCTGCGGAGACGGGCACTCGGGGAGTAAGGTTTAGGGAAGCCAAGCGTCCTCAGCATTTTTCCCAGAACAGCTGGACGTGTCAGAAGACCCAAGTTCCAATTTCACTCTCTGTCTTACTAGCTCTGTGACCTGAGGTGACTCCCACTAACTTCTCAGTGCCTTCACCTGTGAAAAGGAGGGCCCTGCTCTGCAGGCCTCTGGGGGCTGTGTCCAGTGCGCCACCGCACCAGAGATGCTTTAGAACGTTCTGGAGCCTTGGCAGGTAGGACTCGAGCAGAGATGGACAGGGAGGGGCCTGCCCGGCTGCACGCTCAGTGAGCCCGGGACTTGGGCAGTTGCAGCCTATTTGCATGCACGCGATCGCATGAAGCGTGAACAGCACAGAGTCCCAACCTGGCTCATCATGGGTTAATGTGGCAAGGGGGATTAAATTTTATAAAATACATATTCATGTCTTTATAATTAATTTAGTCTTTTTCAAGATAATTATAAAGGGTCAAATTTAGCTACCAGATTGGTGAAGCAGATGATAATCCTCTTCAGGAGGTAGGAGGGGAGTGAACGTCCTCAGGATGCAGTGGTCAGAAAAGACGTTGTGGACCAGGGGGACTTGTCCTGGGCAATGACAAAGGTACCAGTTTGGACAGGTGCGAGGGAAGCAAAGGCCTTCTCCTGAGAGACCAGCCGGAGCTCACGCCCAGACGCTGCACTGCAGAGGACAGGCTTTTAAGGAGAGGGGAGGTCAGGGGAATGAGCAGACAGCGGGATCCCCTGCATGCAGGTCATTATGCACCTGCGCGGTGGTTCACACCTGTAATCCTAGCACTCTGGGAGGCTGAGGTGGAAAGATCACTCAAGGTCAGTAGTTCAAGACCAGCTGAGCAAGAGCGAGACCCTGTCTCTACTAAAAATAGAAAGAAATTAGCTGGACAACTAAAACTATATAGAAAAAGTTAGCCGGGCATGGTGGCGCATGCCTGTAGTCCCAGCTACTCGGGAGGTGGAGGCAGGAGGATTGCTTAAGCCCAGGAGTGTGAGGTTGCTGACGCCACGGCACTCACTCTAGCCTGGGCAACAAAGCGAGACTCAATGGAGGAGAGAACAGCTTGATAAGAAAAAAAAAAAAAAAAAAAAAAAAAACAATGGAGGAAAAAACCCATCAGGTTTAAAGAAAGAAAGAAAAAAAAAAAGCCAAAAACTAAGCAAAAAGACCCAGGGAAAGTTAAACCACAGAAAATGTAGAAAGATGCTGGACTGAGGGATTTAATAAAATTTCCAAATCTTAAAAGTGAACTGCGTGGGGTCTGGGAAGTGAAAGATACAGTCATCTGTATTATCCTTTTCTCCCCCAAAGAAACCAGCCAAGAGCCGCTCAAAGCTAATCTTTGATGGGGGAAGAGGTGGCACCGGGCTCAGGGTATGGGATGAGATCTGCCTGCTCCTCACTCGGACCAGCTTGCTGGGAGGCGCAGCTGCAGAGCGGTTTGCAAGAGATGCACTTGGAGCTCAAGGTGGACGCCGGCCTGGCCAACACCTCTCGCCCTCTCCCGACGGCAGTCTTTCCAAAACTAGTGGTGGACAGAGCGAACTGGAGCCTTGTGTGCTGGACTGGAGTCTGCCCGGAGCCTGAGACTGGCTCAGGACCCCATCCTTTTTTTATTGTTGTTGTTGAGACAGAGTCTCACTCTGTCGCCCTGGGTAGAGGGCAGTGGCGTCATCATAGCTCACTGCAACCTCCAACTCCTGGGCTCAAGGGATGCTCCTGCCTCAGCCTCCCGAGTAGCTGGGACTATAGGTGAGCACCGCCATGGCCTGCTAATTTTTCTATGTTTAGTAGAGACAGGATCTTGCTCTTGCTCAGGGTGGTCTCGAACTCCTGAGCTCAAGCAATCCTCCCACCTCAGCCTCCTAGAGTACTAGGATTACAGGCGTGAGTCACCATGCCCGGCCAGGACCCCATCCTTGAGATGAGAGTACGAGGGCCCCTTGCACCCTCGTGGGGTGGCCAGGAGGTGAGATGACACAAGGCCCTGGTGTCCCACTCTCTGTCCATGTTGTGTATTCACAGCGCAAATAGGAAACCTGGACACGGCGATGGCAGAGCGAGTGGGATCCCCGGGAGAGAGCGCGTTTCCTCTGCCGGCTCCCCCGCAGGCAGCCTCCCATCTGGCTCTCTGGGATTCTTGGCATCGAGGCTCAGCTTTAAACTCAGGAGGGACTTGGGAGTTCGGGAGCTTCCTGGGCTAGCCGGGGAACCACCCCGCACCGGCCGTGGGAAGGCGCATCTCCATTTCCAGGAGTTCCAGCCCACGGACTTGCCGACAAACGCGTGACCCACGTCCGTGAGGTGGAGGTCGCTACCAATAGCAATCATCGCCACCACCTCGGCAAATCTGCCCTCCAGATCTGAGCGCGGAGTTGTTGGGATTTGGTCTGTGCAATATGTGCTTGTGCACAGGGTGGGGAGGGTGTGAAAATACATGTCCTGCTTACACGTTCTCTATTCTTGGACATGCTAAAGCCATTTCCCTGAGGGAACTCAGCTGCAGCAATGTTAGTTACCAAATCTAAGGGTTGGAGTCCCAGCTCCACCACGTAGTAGATGAGTCCTCGGAACAACCTTCTCCAGGCCCCCAGCCTCGGTCTGCTCATCTCTGAAATGGGAGTCGCTGGGAGGGTGAACGAGAGGCGCCGTGCAAGGTGTGAAGGCAGAGTCTGGCGCGTGTTTAAGTATTCAATAGGAGCTATTGAGAGCAGTTCTTCACTCTGTAAATATTTACCAAGCACCTGCTGTGTCCAGCATCTGGGCTCCCAGGATACAGCGGTGAACAAACAGGCCAGACGTGGGGGGGTTGGGGGGGGAGACGGGCCCTGCGCAGGTAGTCAGGAAAATGCTGAGTGAGGACGGTGAGGGGGGCACGGAGAAAAGCCAAGCAGGGCAGGAGACACGTGTGGGGGAAGTGGCCCTTCTCAAGCCCTGCCCACCTGTCGTCTCCTCGGTCCCTATCAGTCCCTCAGCTTCCCCACCACCCTGCGTTCAGGCCAGACAGGATGTTGCGCCTTCCCCGAAGCTCTGAGACCCTCACTGCCTGTGGCCTTTGCGGGTGCTGTTCCCCTAACCTGGACTCTTCCTGCACTCTCAACACCACCCCCTTTCCCTGCACCCCCAATTCCTCCTCCTCCTCCTCCTCCTCTGTCTCAGCTTGGCTGCCCCTCCTCTTCTGCTAAGCCTTTGCTGGCCCCCAACCCTCACCCCGAAAAAGTCGCAGTCGTGTTAGGTGCTTTATCTCTGGGCCGCAGCCTCCACCTCCCCCATGAACAATTTAACACAGGGTGGCACTGGGCTCCGTGGTACTGCAGGGCAGGGACCTGCTGCCATACCAGGTGTACCAGGAACATTCGCTAAAGGAATGCGTGAAAGCAGGAAAATGTCTCCTCCCCCAGGGCATTCCCTCCCTCCCCCTCCACCTACTCCCCCCCTTGATTTCCATCATGACCACAGCCCTCTAGGTCCCAGGTAAAGCTTAGCCCCTCAGGGTTGCATGCTAGGGGAAGTGCCTCCTCTTCCCTCCAGAAGCTTCCACAGCTTCCACTAGTGCAGGCAGAGGATGAAGCACAACCTTGCTCACCACAGGAGTGAGCAGGGGGCTGGGGGGAGAGGTACGGGCGGGGGGTGGCTTTTCTTGGGGGTTAATCAATTATCTGGCCCATGAGTCAGCCAAGGAGTTCTCCCAATCAGCATGGGTGACATGAAAAATATCACTGAGTTCCAGGGCCCTGAGATTCATGAAAACAGAAGGAAAGCTGGGAGGGCGTGGGGACCCCAGTGAGAAATAGAGAAAAGGAACTCAGCCTTTGGGTGCAGCTCTGTGAGCTGAGAGCCGAAGCCTTCGTTCATCCTTCCATCAAACACGCACGGGGCTGGGGCTCTGCCGGACACTGGCCGAGGCTCTGGGCATGAAAAGGCCCCGTCCTTGGAGCTCACAGTCCAGCCGGGGGCTGGGGCATGGCCAGAGCTGGGTGCCGGACTCATGGGCCAGATAATTGATTAACCCCCAAGAAAAGCCCCCTCCCCCATACCTCTCCCCCAGCCCCCTGTTCACTCCTCTGGTACGGAAGGTTGTGCTTCATCCTCTGCCTGCACTAGTGGAAGCTGTGGAAGCTTCTGGAGCGAAGAGGAGGCACTGCCCCTAGCATGCAACCCTGAGTGGCTAAGCTTTACCTGGGACCTAGAGGGCTGTGATCATGATGGAAATCTCCAGAGCCCTGGGAAGGGTCCGGAAGGAAGGCTTCTAGATGGTGATATTTCTGCATCGACATCCTTTTCACTCTGTTCTTCCTGGGCTGAGCCCTAATGGACTTGTTGCCTCCCGAGGGGCTTCTGCAGGTGTGTCCCTGCTGTTCCCAGTAGGAAGGCCAGAGGTCTGATCCCGTGGAACAGTGAAGGGCCAAGGAAGGGGGGTGGGTGTGCGGGCACCTGCCCCCTCCAGACAGAGGCGCTGGTTTTCCCTGTGGCTGGGAGCAGAGCGTGGGCGCCCAGGGCTCGCAGCTGGTCCCTGTTCCTTCCCTGGGGCAGCTCTCACCTAATGACTTGTCACAATAGGGGTTCCAAAGGGACAAACTCTTTAGACTGGCACCTCTGTTGTAGCCACATTGTCCCATTGGCTTCCTGCACCCCCCACACCTTGTTCCCAAGAACGCCTCCCACGCACCTCCTACCTGCAGACCTCCACCCCAGGAACTGTTTCCAGAGGACCCGGCGCATGACGAGCCAGGATTTCAGAGCTGCTGGGGACCCTGCACGCAGCCAGCGCCATCATGGGTCCCGAGAGGGGAGTGGGCCAGTCTGGGGACCCATGCCTGCCATCACCCACCGGGGGGAATGCGGCCAGAGGGCTAAGCACTGGCTTCTGACTGCCGTTGAGGACAGAAGGAGTCGAGGCCATTCATTGCTAGCCCTCGGGGAGAAGGGAACCTCAGGACTCCCCGGTTGGAAAAGTTCTCATTCTTCTCGGCATTTCAATCTGGGCAGCCTCCGCCACTCAGAAGTTCTTCCTGACTTCAGAGCCGGAAACCCTCCTTCTGTGATGTGTCCCCGTTTCCTCTCCCTTTTCCTCTGTGGAGCCGTGTTCTCGCCAAGAAAGAAAGTTAAAAGAGAACAAAGGCATATGGTCTTCTTATTGAGACTGACACCCACATCTTAGGGAAGCCAGAGGAGAGCGTTCAAATAAGGGCAGCGGAAATACATTTGCATGGCACCAGCCTTGGAAACTGATTTTTTAAAAAGTAACCAGAATAATAAGTGTCCCCCTTTGTCCAGTTTATTCGTCTTTTGGAATAGCAAGACTATATTAGAGACCCCTACTCAGAGCTCTTACGGGAGAGCCCTGGGTTTGGAGTCTGACATCATGCATTAAAAACTTATTTCTGCTACTCACTCACTAGCAGTGTGACCGTGGTGGGAAGTCTTTGCCTTTTGGAGCCTCAGTTTCCTTTATTGTACAACTGGGGGACACCAGCTATGCCACGCCTGCCTGTGTTACAGGTCTGTGGAGGGAGTTAGGGTGAAGGTATGCAAAAGCTTAGTAGGCTATAAAGCACTGCACTAGTGTTACTAATCAAGACTGGAGTCCAGAACAATTTCCTGAGCTACTACCAGGTACAAAGTCCCACCACAATTTTTTTTTTTTTGAGAAATTGACAAACCGATATGAAAACTCATATAAAAATGCAAAGGGCCTAGAATAGCCAACTGGCAGAAGCTAGACATTTGGCACATATCAGCTTATTTAATTTTCTAAACAACCCTGTCCTGTGGATCTAATCATTTCCATTTTAGAGACAAAGAAACTGAGGCTGAGTGAAATGACTTAGGTTGTCCAGAAACACACAGCTTTTAACAGGTGGTGCTGGGGTTTGAACCTGGCTCTCTAGCCCCTGTGCTTGCTGCCACCTTGGGCTCCCTCAGCCTGTGATGTGGGGCCACCCTTGCCTGCCCACCCCTGGGCCCCGCGGAGCAGAGCCTGGCAAGTGCTGGTGAGGCTCACTTTGCCCCCATCCCCCAGCTGGGCTGTTCTAGGCCTCCGGAGAGGAGTCTCTGTGGCCCTGAACAGGGTGAGCTCACCTCGTGGAGTGGGGTGCAGGGCTGGTGGCTCGCCGGTGGCCTCAAGTTTGCCCAACTGGTTCACGTTTGGGGTGTGCCACCTGCGAGCCTGGTTGGGTTTCTCAGAGGTTCCCACGGAGATCGGCCTTTTCTGGGAGGTATTTGATGCTGTCTTTGCTCGCTGACCGGGCGACGACTCCACTCACCCCTCTGGAGGCCTCGGCCGTCAGCCCGACCGAATTACTCAGGGGAAGTCAGAGCTCATAATTATTTGACTAATCCTCATGTGGCAACACACCGGAGGTTGTTTTTTTAGCACAAGGCAGGGCCCGAGTGAGAGCTTTATCCACTTCAGCCTTGCCTGTCTGGGTCTGCAGGCTGACGCGGGGCCTCCTTCCTGAGGCAGGAGACGTGGGAATCTCAGTAGGACGGTGCAGAGCTGGGTCTCCGAACCCCGGAAACCTGCATCACCCCAGGCATTAGCGTCTTAGGGCTCGTACATAATGACTACAAACTTGGTGGCTTAAAACAACTATTCTCTCACCGTTCTGAGGCCAGGAGCCCACAGTCAAGGTGTCAGCAGGGCCGTGCTCTCTCCAAAGGGCCCGAGGAGAGATTGCTCTTGGCTCTTCCAGCTTCTGGTGTCTCCAGGTGTTCCTTGGTTTGCGGCTGCATCACTTCAATCCCCACCTCCCTCTTCATGTGGCCTTCTCCTCTGTGTCTCTTATAAGGACACTCGTCTTTGGATTTAGGACCTATTGGGATAGGATAATCCAGTATGATCCTTAACCTAGCACTATCTACTAAGACCCTTTTTCCAAATAAGGCCACAGACACAGGTTACCAGCGGGCTAATCTTTTGGTGGTGGGGCTATCATTCAACCCACCACACCCTGGACCCTGCCCCTGTCAGAGCCATCTAATGGTGTGGGCATTTCCCTCCTTGCTAGATGATTTTCTCATTTGTCCTTTCCTCTCCGTCCCCACTGCCACTGTCCTATGCCCTCTTTCTTCTCTTGCTGGGACTGGTGCAGTAGTCTAAGCTGCCCCAGTCTCTCTGCCCTCATTTTCATCTGCCCCTATGAATTCTCTCCACTGCTCCAGAGTGATTTTCCTAACCCTCAAATCACCCTGTGTCCTTCCTTTAGACACTTCCAAAGGGCAAGTCTGGTCTCCTAGGTGTGGTGTTCAAGGCCCTGCCCAGCTGCTCAGCTTCTCGTGCAGGTTCCTGCCCACGTCTTCCACTCGACACTGAGCAGACTGTTCTCTCAACTTGCCCAGCATGCTCGGGATGTGACAGGGCTCGGACAGAGGGAGGACCTGGTGTGTGTCTGACACAGGATGTGGAGTGCAGGGAAGGGGGCTCGTCTCATGGCTGGGAGGCCGCGGGCAGGGGTTGGGGTCTGGGCAATGGTACGCACCTTCTTAGGAAGCAGAAGAGATGAGTTCTAATCCGGATTTCCAGACCCTGTCTCTGTTCTCCAGTTATTGCGCCAAACCACTGAGGGTGCAGGAAGGTATCACTGCTGTCGTTTCTTCTCCTTCACTCTTCACTGGGGGACATCACGCACAGGTGACTGTCGAGGTGCCTGAGGACCCTTAGGATGTGGTGAGCTCACTCAGCAATCATTGCAACCCTCATGCGCCTGTCCAGACCCCAGATTGCCCTCTCCCGGCCTGTGCGGCCAAGCCAGCTCCCTCTCACCGGCTGACCTGGCCCCAGGCTTGTCCCCAGTGTCACCGAGCAAGGCCAAAAGGTCTAGGCATGGGGTGGGGACTACAAGCCAAGGTCTGCCCCCAGCAGCTCCCTTCCATACTTCCCTCGGGGTTTGGATCGAGCCGCAGAAGGGGCTCAGGGTTGGGCGGTGGAGTCTAGATGGAGACACTGTGTGACCCTGGGCAGGTCACCTCCCCTCTTACCTTCATGGCTATGGCCACTTCTCAGGAGCACCCAGGAAGACATCCAAGTGGGGGCGTGTCACCTGCATTCGCATGCCGGTTTACCTGATTCTCCGTTTCCATCCCCGGGCTGTAGGCCCTGTGAGGATGCCACTCGGCCTCCCTGGTTCCCTGACGCATCGCAGTGCCCAGCACGGCGCCTGGGAGTAGGAGGGACTCGGGAAATGTCTGTGAATAAAGGAAAGAACGAATGAACACAGAAAAGAGGGTCACAGGGAAGAATGCAAACAGTTCCACATGTCCAACAGGCGCCCAAGCCGCGTCCTGCCGATCTCCTGCCACATGTGGTCCCCAAGGCTCCGTGCCCTCCCCCCCACCTGCCCGGGCTGCTCCTCCCCCGCCTTCCCCGGGAAGGGCCGCCCTCGCCTCTGCGCCCACTCAGCGGCTCTGCCAGCGCTGTCCATGTGTCGAGTGCCGCGCTCGCTGTGCGCTCCAGCTCCAGCAGATGCTCCCAAACGGTTTTCCAGAGGGGTTGTCCCAGTCTCCCCCCACCCGCAGTGGGGGAGGGGCCGGGCCCACACCTTCCTCAGCACTTGCCGGCTTTAGCCCACACTTCCACTGTACTGAAAAGATTTTAGTTTTAAAAAGGCATCCTGGAATCACGGGGTTGGCCACCCAGCCCTCCCTGCCTGGCCTCTGGGGCCTCGGGGACAAAGTCTGTGGCCCTCCCTGCCCACCTCCCCTTTCCCTCCTACTCCCTGCCCCTCGCCAAACTATTAATACCCGGCACTCTGGGCTCCACTGAGCCTCCCTGCCTCTGCGCAGGCTGAGCCCTTTGCCCACCACGCCCTTCCCCTGTCTGCCTGGCGTCCAGCACGCACGTCAGCTGTCACCTTCTCCAGGAAGCCTCCCCTGATCTCACCTGAGTTTATGAGGTGTTCCTGCTCTGGGCCTGCAGGGTGCCCCGCTCCTCTCTTTCCATGCTCTGGTGACCTCGTCCGCTAAAGTGCCTGCAGGGGGCCTGACCACGTCCAGCTGCTCTCTGTCCCCCGCATTTGGAACACGGGCAGGGCTCAATAGCCGTCTGAACTGAGCCAAACCCTGCTCCTCCACCTGGGAATCTGACTTTACATAAGGCCCTGAGGATCGTGTGGCAGGAAACATGTTGTCACTGCGGCCAGGGTACACTGGGCCTCAGTGCAGAGGCCTGGCCTGGGAGAGAGAGGTCCTCAGGGCGGTGAAGCCTCCTCTCTTCCTTAGCAGCCAGTGGCTTATGCCACCAAAGTGGCTTTGGGCACATGTAGAAAGCATGACTGGCGTGGAGGCTGCACCTGCCACTTCTTCCCCGCCTTGCTTCTCAGCTGACAGGGGCTGGCTCTGAGGGCAGGACTAGACCCCGCAGGCCCCATGGGTGTACTGGGGGACAATAATCCCGATATTTTCATGTTGTCACAGAAAAATGTCCATGATGCCTAGAATACCTGTTGTGTCTTGGTCCGAGGTAATGAATCCATGCTTAGTCACAGAGGCCACACGGGGAGGCCCTGAAACAGTGTGTGTGTGGAGGGGGGCTTTTGGGACTGCCCTGCTGTGGGGTCAGCTTGGCCTGGTGACTCTGAGGCCTCGGGAATTAATTAAATATTAACAAGAGGGCTCCCTACCACGCACACCCCCAGGCCTGGGACACGTGTTTGAGTGTGGGCTGAAAACTTGCACATCTTCCCTCAGTTAATCCTCACAAACTAACCCTAGTCGGTGAGCACTCCTGGGCTCATTCCAGATTCCAGGAAACCAGGTCACAGAGAGGCTAAGTCAGCCACTCTGCTACAAGGTGACAGAGGAACAGGGCTGTTTGGCTTTGGAGCTGTGTCCTTTCTAGCATGCTGTCCCAATGATGATAGCAGCAATGATGACACAAATTGTCAACAACGGGCAAGAGTACATATATAGGAAGAAGCCAAAGCAAGCTCTGATTTTGAAGACCTGCATCAATAATTTTCTCAGAAGTCTGGAAGATCAGCCAGCCCTCCCCCTACTCCAAATACACATGGCCCACGCTCCCTGGCCTTCCGAGGGACCGTCCATCACTCAGTCAAGGCCTGTCCACCGAGGCCAGCTCTCTTGCAGGTGTCCTTGTTTTTATTGTTTTTTTTTTTGAGACAGGGTTTCACTCTATTGCGTGGGCTAGAGTCCTGTGGCATCAGCCTAGCTCACAGCAACCTCAAACTCCTGGGCTCAAGAGATCCTCCTGCCTCAGCCTCCTCAGTCATGCGCCACCATGCCCAGCTAATTTTTTCTACATATTTTTAGTTATCCAGCTAATTTCTTTTTTTTTTTTTTTTAGTAGAGACAGGGTCTCACTCTTGCTCAGGCTGGTCTTGAATTCCTGAGCTCAAATGATCCACCTGTCTCGGCCTCTCAGAGTGCTAGGATTACAGGCATGAGCCACCGCACCTGGCCTGGCTAATTTTTTCTATTTCAGTTGCCTGACTAATTTCTTTCTATTTTTAGTAGAAATGGGGTCTCATTGTTGCTGAGGCTGGTCTCAAACTCCTGACCTCAAGCAATCCTTCCACCTCAGCCTCCCTGAGTGCTAGGATTACAAGTGTGAGCCACCACGCCCCTCCTCAGGTGTCCTGTCTTTACTAGGGCTGTAGGCCATACTATTTTCCCCCTGGGGCATGCTTTTGTAGGATTTGTGTGATGTCAGGGAAGTAGCCAAGTGTGCTCTGTCTGAGAACCTGGGCTCCAGGCAAGTCATTTTTCATATCTGAGCCTCAGTTTCTGCATCTGTAAAAAGGTGATTAGAATATCTGCTTCACCCACCTCAAAGAAGGGATGAGAGGCTCAAAGACATTTGCAAATTGTAAGATAATAATAATAGGATGCATGCCCCACCCTCTGTCACCCCAGATAGCTGCCCGGTAGTGGAGCAATGGCTGAGCCTCTGAGTTTCTTAGGTCTAGAGGTGCCTGCTGCTTGCTCAGCCACAGAGAGCAGGACTGACTTCTCCAACAGGCATGACAGGCCCAGTGCTAGTGCCCTTGATACTCACAGGGGCCCCCAAAATGTTTCTATTTTAATTTATTTTAAATCAGAAGACACAAATGAATATAATAATAAATATGTAATAAAGAATCCAGCCTATATTATATACATAATTATACCAATGTAATCATAAAAGGTAATTAATATATACACATATATTACATATATTTGTGGAGGAAAGGGCCTATGGAGGTAAAACTGCCTAGGACCAAAAAAAGTCATAATAAGGTCCTGACAAAGATCAGGGCTTGAGAAGCAAGGACTGTGCTCTCCTTGAAGAGGATGTTTGGGCCCACTCAGCTAAGTATGTCGCAAAAATGGCCACAATTCTCTGCAGCAGTTCTCACCAAAGAAGCAGAGTCTATTTACCCAGCCCTTGAATCTAGGTGGGCCTTCTGACTTGCCATGGACAATAGATGTGGGAGAAGTGACACTGTGTGAGTTCTGAGCCTAGCCCTCAAGAAGTCTTTCAACTTCCATTCTCCTGTTTTTAAAACCCTGAGACCACTGTGTGAATAACCCTGGGCTAGCCTGATGGATGATTAGGGACACTGGCACTGGCCCAGTTGCTGTGTCACCCTGGCAACAGCCAGCCAATCCCCTGAGGCAGAGCCACCTAGCTGACCACTAACACTGAGAATGACCAGCTGAGATCAGCAGAAGAACCGCCCAGCTGAGCCCAGCCCAAATTGCTGACTCACAGCATTGTTAGCTAAATAAATACTTACTTAAGCCACTAAGTTTTGGGGTGGTTTGTTATGTAGCAAAAGCCTAACTGATTCACTGCCATCTGCCCTGAGGAAGGACTTGCAAATAAATGAGAAGGGACAGGCTGTCATCTCATTTTCTAATCCAAGCGGGCCAAGGCCTGAGTAATCAACTAGCCCAGTGTTGTCCAGTAGAAATGTAATGTAAGCCACAAATACAAGCACATATGTACTTTTGCTTATTTATTTTTAAGAGACAGAATCTCACTCTGTCACCCAGGCTGGAGGGCAATGCTATGAGCATAGTTTACTATATCCTTGAACTCCTGAGCTCGAGAGATCCTCCTGCCTTGGCCTCCCAAGCAGCTAGGACCACAAGTGTACACCACCATACCCAGCTGATTTTTAAAAATTTTTTGTAGAGGTGGGGTCTTGCTATGGTGCCCAGGCTGGTCTTGAACTTCTGAGCTCAAGCAATCCTCTCACCTTGGCCTCCCAAAGTGCTGGGATTATAGGCATGAGCCACTGAGCCCAGCCACATAAGAACTTTTAAAATGTCTAGTAGCTATATTTTTAAAAAGTACAAAGAAACAGGGGAGATTAATTTCAATAGTACATTTTATTCAACCCAATATATCAGAAGAATTAACATTTTAACACATAACCAATATAAAAATAATTAATGAGATATTTTACATTCTTTCATTCATACTCTTAATAAATCTTTGAAATCCAGTGTGTATTTTACACTTGTGGCCTAGCTCAATTTTTTACTAGCCACATTTCAAGTGTTCAATAGCCTATTGTGGCTAGAGGCTACCATATTGGATAGCACAGATCTAGGCTTCTGAATGTGTGGGTTTCATTACCAGTAAACGTCCCCTCAAAATTTGGGAGAACAATATTGGCAAAATTTTATTTGGGAAAAAGGACGCTTTAAAAAAAAAGAAAGAAACAATTACTACCAACTATTGCCATCACATCATAAAAGAAAGGACTTTAGCTGCCCTGAAACATAGAAGGATATCATCATAGACACAGTGTATTTATTTATTTATTTTTTTTTATTTTTGAGACAGGGTCTCACCCTGTTGCCCCGGCTAGAATGCCGTGGCATCAGCCTAGCTCACAGCAACCTCAAACTCCTGGGCTCAAGTGATCCTTCTGCCTCAGTCTCCCGAGTAGCTGGGACTATAGGGATGTGCCACCATGCCCGGCTAATTTTTTCTATTTTTGGTAGAGATGGGGTCTCGCTCTTGCTCAGGCTGATCTTGAACTCCTGAGCTCAAATGATCCACCTACCTCGGCCTCCCAGAGTGCTAGGATTACAGGTATGAACCACCGCACCTGGCTGATAAATGGTATTTTAATATTGAATACATTCAGCTCTAAGGAAAATTTACTACACTCTTGTTATTGTTCTCATTTTGCTATAGATGGGAGAAAATTTCACTGTATTCCTGCAAGTCTTGCCTAATGGCTCTTAGAATCATCCAGAAGAAGCTCTAAACGTATCTGTCATGGTTAATTTTATGTGCCAACTTCAGTGGGCCAGGGGGTTCCCAGATGCTTGGTCGAACGTTATTCTGGGTGTTTCTGAGGTGTTTCTGGATGAGTTCACTAAACTGAGTAGAGTGCCCTCCCCAGTGTGGGTGGGCCTCACCCAATCAGTGAAGGCCTGAATAGAAAAAAAAGGCTGAGCCTCCTTCAAACAAGAGGAAATTCCCTGCCTGACTGCCTTCAAGCTGGGACATTGTTTCTTTCCTGCCTTTGGACTCAAACTGAAATATTAGCTCTTCTTGGGTCTTGAGCCTGCTGTCCTCTAGACTGGAACTACACCTTCAGCTCTTCTGGGTCTCCAGCTTGCTGACTCGCCTTGCAGATCTCGGGACTTCCATAATTGTGTGAGCCAATTCTTATAATAAAATAGCTCTTTTTCTCCCCCCACCCCTCCCCACGCATATATAGGCACATGCATGCAATAGTCCACCCTTATCCACGACTTCACTTTTTATAGTTTTAGTTACCCAAGGTCAACTGCAGTTTGAAAATATTACATGGAAAATTCCAGAAGTAAACAATTCATAAGTTTTAAATCGCATGCTTTTCTGAATAGCATGATGAAGTTTCCTGCTGCCCTGCTCCGTCCCGCCCGGATCGGGAGTCCTCCCTTTGCACAGGGCTTCTCCTCTGCATAGGCTGCCTGCGAGTTAGTCCTAGCCGACTTGGTGATCAGAGCACTAAGGGGGTACTGCGGTGCTTAAGTTCAAGTCACCTGACTCTCTCCCTCTCACACAAGGTGACGCTCTGCCCTCCCGGCTCCGGGAAGGGGACACCTCATGTTCCCCATGCCCTCCCCATTTGCACCCTCTGCCGGGACCTGCCCCTCCACAGCCTTTCTGCGCTGCAGTTACTCACGCGGATTCCTGTGCAGGGAGGGCAACAACGGGCCACAGTCAGCCCAGTATTTCCTGAGAGGAGCTGGCAGAGGGGCCCTGAGTCACTGCAGGGCAGTTCCACGGAAGGCCGGGTCCCCTCCCTCCCCGTCTGCCCCTCCCCTGGCTCCAGGAGCTGGGGCGGGGGAGAGGCACTCGGCTGGGGATAAAAGGGTTTAAAGCTCAGCTTTGTAGGCAGACGGTTACTGACACACTATGGGCAGGTGCCAACTGTGTCCCTTTCCAGCGGTGCCACCGTGGCTGCTTCCCTTCACCACTCTGAGACTGCTCAGGACAGAGAGAGCCACGCGGCCGCCTTAAGGGGCTATGAGGTCTGAGCGCCATCTCGCTCAGAAGGGCACAGGAAGGGAAGGCTGTGCAGACTCATGACGACAATGATGACAATGGCGACAATGGCAACAATGATTCCAGTGATGAGGGCGTTTGGAGTGGTGCTCTGCAGATGTGGGAGGCGACCAGGTGGCCCAGGGACCTCTGGGAATTTTCTCAATGCCTCCCCCCAAATTGGGCTACTGGTTCAGTTTAGGGGGCTGTTCTGTGGTGAATGACTTGGGCCTCCTGGAGGCTGGCGTTGGCAGGGATGGAGCTGCCTAAGGGATGAGAAACAGGGACACGGGCTCCTTGGCTGGCCAGCAGGTGAGGGGAAGAGGCCCTTCCCGAGGGAAACTGCTGCTTCTAGCCCCAAAGACGAGGTGCAGGGTGGCCCCTCTGCACCTGCTCTGGCTGTCACCATCTGCCCCAGTTCCCCACGAAGCACCCACCAACGCTGGCCCTGCAGTGTCGCTTACTGTCTGGGGACCACCCTTGCTGGGGCAATGGCGGTCGTCCCTCACCTTGGAAGGGTGTATTTAGGGAGAGGAAAGGAGAGGCCTCAGTCTGCCTCAGGGCTGCCTGCTCCTGATGGCAGGCTCAGGGCCCACAGAGAAGACAGAAAAGTCAGCAAGAAGGTAGGGCAGGCACATTTTTGAGCAGTTCCACTAAAAACATTTACTGAAAACCTATGTCCATTTCTCATGCCATCATTTGGACGGCTCGGCAACAGGCCCATTTTACAGAAGAGGAAGCGGAGGCTCGGAGTTAAGGGTGTGCACCTGTGGCAGAACTTGGGCTTAGCTCCAGCTCTTCTTAACGGCAAAGCTGAGCTCTAGCTTAAATTTCAATGAAATGACCAAAAAAAAAATCCCCCCATATTCACTTGATCTCCCTCTGAAGTCCTGGCAAGTTGTAAACTATCCTGCCCTGGACTTTCTCCGAGCTGGGCCGTTGACCTGGAACCTTCCAAGCCAGCACATCCTGCTCAGCCTTCAAGATTTCCTTTCGGTGTCCCTTTCTCCCCAGAGAGGCCAAACAAAGAAGCCTCTGGAAGAAGCAGCAAACTGAGTCGCCTGTACTTGGAAACTCTCTTCCCCAGCGTATGGTAGAAAAGGGACGTGGAGGGACTTGCAACCTCTCGGGGGTCTTCCCGCCTCAGTGCCCCCTCTGCATGGGCCTTAAAAGACAGACACTGTCGTTTGCATCGCTGTCCTCGATCCTGGCGCCCGGCACATAGTAGGTGCGCATGAAATGCTTGCTGAATGAGTCCGTGGATGGCGGGGTGGGCGAGGACCTCAGCTCTGCTCCTGGCTGCCTCAGCCTCTGCTGCGCTTCCCCAAAGCACAGATGACAATGCAGGCGCGCTGCTGTGTGACACTGGTTTATCGAACACCCCTCCTCAAAGCCGGCAGGAGCCCCATGGGCAAATCAGCGGAAAGCGTCGCTCAGTTCACACAGAAGGAAGCACACATCCCAGCCGGGGCTGCGGGGTGTGAAAACCTATCTATCATTTCTGATCCCCGTGGCAACCCAGTGAGAGAGGCAGGCTGAGCGATGCCCATTTTACAGATGAGAAAACCGAGACCACAGGAGGTTCACACAAGACTTGAGCAGTCACACAGTGTATAGCTGATCAAACCCAGGGGCCCACACCAGGCCTGGCGACTCCAAGCCCCTGCACCTTGCAGCCTCCTAGCAGCACAGAGCAAACACCCCCGAACAGGCTGCCTGGGGGACACCTCCCGGCCCGCGCGGCACCTTGAGGCCCAGACCACTCTCCTTTGCCAGGCTGGACCCCCGAGGCCCTGCCCACTTTCTGAGCTCCTGGGAAAGCTGTCTTCCCCTTCCCTGAGACTCTGTCCTCCAGGGCTAAGCTTCCAGCTTGACACGCAGATGTCCCCTGAATTACTAACCTCTGGATCCAGGGCCGCACGCACATAAAATAAAACCCATTTTTAACACAGCCATCTTATCTCTCTAGTTTTTTTTTAAAGGAAACACAACATTAGAGCTTCAGCCACGTTCCCATCTCCTTCCCATATTTGTCTTTTTTCCTACAGAATATTTATCCATAAGCAATTTATACCATTGTTTCATGTGTTTTGCAATTTATACCAATGATCTTATTATTTTCGTGCCCTGCTTTTTTCACTTAAGATGTTTTTGTGAATGATTCAAGTTCACGCGTGAGGTCTTAGCTCGCTCATTCTAAGCAGCATAAATATTCCCATCGTCTAACCCACCGAAGAGCTTCTTTACCCACGCTTGGCCGAGGCGCTGCTGCTTCCACGTCCTCATGTTTTACGAGAGGGCTGCAGCGACACACTTTCTCTTGTCCAGGAGGGAGGGTTTCTCCAAGGCTTGCAGTGCCCTGCAGGACAGGGATTACAGCCCTCTCCTACCTCCGCCCCATCCAGAAATAAGCACACAGCAGGCTCTTGATATTTGGATGTTTATTTGGTGAACGATTGAACTCAGATAAATTCGAGACTACCTGGACAGCCCAGGTAGGGCAAACTTGGCTGACGGCCTACCAGATACCCATTCTCCTTTCTTTGCTGTCAGAGCATGCCAGCCCCAGGGACGGATCGCTGTTGCCCAAACCAGTCCTGGTGACCCTTCTCTGCTTTCCCAGGACCCCTTGTAGCTAGAAGTGGCCACGTGGCCCAGGGTGGGCCAGTGAGAGCTAAGGGATGTGTGACGGGGGTTCTGGGAAGCTCTGTTCTGACGAGAGGGGGCTCCGGCACGCTGTCTGCAAGGAGGGCCACGACCGTATCTCCCACTCCCAGCCCCGCACTCCTTGCCTATGTGACTTTGCCATTTCTCCTTCAAGGAAAGGAGTTTGTTTTTTACCTTTAAATCTGGGCTGGCCTCATGATTTGCTTTGACCCACAAAATGTGGTGGAGGTGACATTGTGGGATTTCCAAGCCTAGGTCTCCAGAAACTTTAAAAACAAACTCTTGTTCTTTTGCTCCCCCAAGGCCACCATGCAAGGAAGCCTCAGCAGCCTCCTAGAACAGCGGCTGGCCACCTTCTTGTAAAGGGCCAGATATGGTGGCCCTTTAGGGCCTTGGCCGTGTAGGCCATAGGGTCTCTTGTCACAACTACTCCGCTATTGTAGCACAAAAGCAAACATATTAATAGATAATATGGAAAGGAATGAGTGTGGCAGCGTTCTAATAAAACTTTATTTACAAAATCAGACAGTGGGCCATAGCTGGCTAACCTCCGTCTTAGAGAATAAGAGAGCAGTGGAGGGCGACTGTTTCCTGTTGCCCCTGTGACAGATGACCACAAACTTAATGGCTTAAAACAACACAAATGTATCATCTTACTGTTCTGGAGGGCAGAAGACTAAAGTGGGAATAATCGGGGTAAAATCAAGGTGTCGGCAGGATTGCAGTTCTTCTGGAGGTTTTAGGGGAGAAGCTGTTCCTTGTCTTTTCCAGCTCATAGCAGCTACCTGCAGGCCTTGACTCGTGGTCCTCTTCCAGCAGTGGCCTCACCCAGACCCCTGCGTCTGTGCCCACGTCTCCAACACCAGGTGTGTGAGTGAGGCCATCCGGGAGAATACCGCCCCCGCTGAGCCATCACCTGACTGCTGTTGCACGAGTGAGCCCGGTTAGGAGTAGAAGAGCCTCCACCTGATCCCAACCTGCCGACTCTCAAACTTGCGAGCTAATAAGTGTTGTTTCAAGCCACTAAATTTTGCAGTGGTAGTTTATGCCAACAGTAAATAACTGATATAGGAACAGACACCAACAGCACCACCATTTTGTGCCTGTCTCTCCTTTTTCTGCCTTGAGAATGGATGTGAAGCTACAGCAGCCATTTTGCCACCCTGAGGGGAAGATCCATAGCATCACGGTCTGATTGGCTTTCACATCACCGTGCTGCCAAAAGAGCAAGAGCTCGTGTTCAGTTTTGAATTTCTTTTTATGCGAGAAAATAAACTCCTGTTTATTTTAATACTATGATTCCAGTTACATGCAAACTGAAACACTTCTAATTCATACATGGCAATTTGCCAGGCCTACTGAGGAAGCTGGGAAAGGATCTGGAGTGGCCAGGAATTAAAAAGACAGAAATGGCATTTGATGAGGGAAATTTGTGACCTGGGTCCAGGCGTTTCTGTTCCCTCTTCTGGAGCGTGACATGCCTTCAGCACAAACCCCCAGAGCACATCCTTCCTGTGGGGAGAACTTGGAATGGACTCAAACGAAGAATGCCTGGAAAGGCACTTGAGTCCATCCTTAGTATGGGACTCGGAGCTCCTGTCCCTTTGCCACGTCTCCTGTGAAGGGAAGTGACTCATGGCAGTTATGCAACCCCAAGGCCAATGTGTATCTACATTATTGCCCTCTCACTACCCTGGCCAGGAAGGTTTCCAGCTTGAGGTAATTCTCCCAGGGGAATCTTCGCTGGGAGTGAGGAGTGGCTGGGGGTGGGGGGTAGGCAGCTTAGGGAAGAGTTAACAGAGCACAAAGGTGAAGTCCAGGTGGTTCTTTCAGAAGGAAACATCCCAAAGTGCACCCCGGGCCCAGCCTGAGTCCCCTTGTCCTGCTTCTTTCTCCTTTCTGGAAGGTCCCAATTTACTCTGTGTAGAGAGAACCCTCCTGCACTCCCTCCGTCAACCACACTCACACACACACCAGAAATGGGCTATCTCCTTTAATTCACAAAAGCTCTTTTCTTCTCTGTTTTGCAGATAATAATAACAGCTGACAATCATTGACTGCTTACCCATATGCAGGCGTATGCTAAGAGCCTTCCTTGCATTAGCTAAAGAAATCCTCACAGTACGTCTATAGATGAGTTTTACAAGGCTCATTGGACAGATGAGGAAACAGCACAGAGAGGGTAAGTGACTTGTCCGAAGTTACACAGCCTAGAAGTAGTGCAGCCAGGATTAAAACCCACACATTGTGACCCCAGAGCTCAAACTCTTAACCATAACCCTGTCCCACCCGGGGAGGAGGAGGAAAGTAAAGCTCAGAGAGGTTAAACGACTTGTCGGATCTGGCAGAGCCATGATTTGCACTTAGGTGAGTCTGGCTGTAGGTCCCTTGTTCTTGTCCTCTTCCTGTCGCCTCTGCTTGCCTCTGGACCTTCCGAACAGCATCACCCACTGGCCCCAACCACAGGTCCCAGCTGTGAAGAAATGAGCACTAGGCCAGGACTCTGAAAAGTCAGATGTGAGCCTCATTTCTGTGGTCTAGCTCATCCAGTGTCCTTGGACAAATCAATGTTCTTGTCTGCAAACTGAGACTCACGTGTGCCCGCTGTTTTCCCAACGCCCCAGCCTCAGGGTGGCTGTTCTCTGTACTAGCATATGACCCGCAGGGCCTGGTTCTGGCGGCTGGGCGAGTGTGGGGTTTCCTGGTGCTGCGCAGAATTACCACCCGCCATAAAATGCTCAGGGATGTGAGGTTTTGCAATCAGTTATTGCATCAGGAAAACTCTCTGAATAGCCTCATTCTACCCTCTTCCCCGCCCAGGTGCCGGCTTAGCCAGCGGGAGCTTGGGCACCAAGGGGAAAGGATGGAGATTTCCTGTCCTACCACCCAGGCAGTTGCTGTAGCAGGAACATCGGGACTCTGGACCTATACCATACACCCCATGGAAAGTGCTAGAAGAACACCGGGAACCAGGAACCAATGCCAGACCGGGGAGTGGGGTGGGCTGGGGGTGCATGCGTGGGTCGGGCAGCAGCTCCTCACCCCAGCCCAAGGAGGGTCCAGTCTCCCCCTCCCGCCATCGTCACACAGGGCACTGAGCTTGGGGCTCCCCATCTGCAGAAATGGAACCATGATTTATCTGTATCTCATAGGGCAGTTAAGTGGATTTGATAAGACCACGTGCACGTACCTCCCCACTTTTCAAATTAAGTCTTCCGTAAACACTAGCCATGACCATTGTTATTATTCTGGGACTCCATGCGGCCTATTTGGCCCCAGAAACACCAGGGAAACTCCAGCCCTGTCACTGCGACCTTGAAACCAGTCCTCTGACCTCCCTGAACCTCATCTTTGTGACGAGACTACGCCCAAGCCCGTGAGGCAGTGGTGTGAATTCAATGAGGAGCGGCCGGAGGACCGAGCCCAGGGCCTGGCGCAGAGGAAGTGCCCGTCAATGGTGGCCTTTATCCCGACTCAGGCTGGGACGGGACTCCAAGGGAAGCAGAGCTCCGGAACAGAGGGAGCAATTGTGCAGAGGTGAGGGGGGCCTCCCGGCCCAGGGCAGCCAGAGTCCTCGCCCGCTGGGGTGGGCTGAGCCCCACTTCCACTGTGTCCCCACGGTGGCATTCATCCCCGCAGCCTGGGAACCAGGGCAGGGCGGTCCCTTCCAGGACGGGGCACCCGCAGGATTTTCCCATGCCCTCTGTTTGCTCACAGCTTCCCACCCCAGGGCCCATAAAATACTTTTAACCCTCTCCTACCCCCTGAACTATTTTCTCATAAACATCATTTGAGACGTCAATCAGAATAGATGATAGGAGACCACTCCTTGTCATTGTTGAAGGCAACAGGGAGGTGCCCCCCCCCAAGCTGGGTGTGCTGGCGCTGCCTAGTGTATGCATTTCGGCCCAACTCTGTGTTCAGGGACCTCATGTGAGCACCTCAAAATGGGCCACGGTGGGAGCACCACACCACGAAATCAGCCAACACTACAACCCAGAGCCGCCTGTTAAAGCACTCACCAGCACGCCGCTGCTCCCAGGACTTGGAAGTGAGGTTGCTGTCAAGAGTTAACGCAGGAAAGACTGCACCCAGGGGGAGAAACCGGGGGATGACCATAAAGGTGAGAGAGAGGCTTGGGGGAACCCCCAAA